ACGATGAGCAGAACTTATCAAAACTGTTCCCTGGTTGTTCCCAACCATCCTGTGGTGTTGGGTCCTCGTTTTGAAGAGACAGCGCCCCGCGTTCCCTCCTTCCTCCTCCTCCCGCTGCCCCCTCCCTCCCCCCCCTCCTTGCCTCTGCATCATGACACACCCCTCACACGTTTCGTGCCAACATAGGGAGCTCCACCTAAGGTCTCAGTGGCGCAGTTCGCATGGGGGTTCGGGCCATTTCGGCACACCCCGCGCACGTTTCGTGGCCCCATAGGGGGCTCCACCTAAGGTCCCAGTGGCGCAGTTCGGATGGGGGGCTCGGGCAATTTCGGCACATCCCTCACACCACCTAAGGTCCCATGGTGGCGGAGTTCGCATGGGGGGGCTCGGGCCATTTCGGCACACCCCTTACACGCTTCGTGGCCCCATGGGGAGCTCCATCTAAAATCCCAGTGGCGCAGTTCGCATGGGGGCTCGGGCCATTTCGGCACACCCCTCACACGGTTCGTGGCCCCATAGGGAGCTCCACCTAAGGTCCCAGTGGCGCAGCTCGCATGGGGTGCTCTGGCCATTTCGGCACACCCCTCACACGTTTCGTGGCCCCATAGGGAGCTCCACCTAAGGTCCCAGTGGCGCAGTTCGCATAGGGGGCTCGGGCCATTTCGGCACACCCCTCACACGCTTCGTGGCCCCATGGGGAGCTCCACCTAAGGTCCCAGTGGCGCAGTTCGCATGGGGGGCTCGGGCCATTTCGGCACACCCCTCACACGCTTCGTGGCCCCATCGGGAGCTCCACCCAGTGGCGCAGTTCGCATGGGGGGTTCGGGCCATTTCGGAACACCCCGCGCACGTTTCGTGGCCCCATAGGGGGCTCCACCTAAGGTCCCAGTGGCGCAGTTCGCATGGGGTGCTCGGGCAATTTCGGCACACCCCTCACACGCTTCGTGGCCCCATACGGAGCTCCACTTAAGGTCCCAATGGCGCAGTTCGCATGGCGGCCTCGGGCAATTTCGGCACACCACTCACACGCTTCGTGGCCCCATGGGGAGCTCCACATAAGGTCCTAGTGTCGCAATTCGCATGGCGGCCTCGGGCCATTTCGGCACACCCGTCGCACGTTTCGTTGCCCCATGGGGAGCTTCACCCAAGGTCACAATGGCGCAAATCGCATGGCGGCCTCGGGCAATTTCGGCATACCCCTCACACGCTTCGCGGCCCCATTTAGGGAGCTCCACCTAAGGTCCCAGTGGCGCAGCTCGCATGGCGGCCTCTGGCAATTTCAGCACACCCCTCACACGGTTCGTGGTCCCATAGGGAGCTCCATCTAAGGTCCCAGTGGCGCAGCTCGCATGGCGGCCTCTGGCAATTTCGGCACACCCCTCACACGCTTCGTGGCCCCATAGGGAGCTCCACCTAAGGTCCCAGTGGCGCAGTTCGCATGGCGGCCTCGGGCAAGTTTGGCACACCCCTCACACGCTTCGTGGCCCCATAGGGGGCTCCACCTGAGGTCCCAGTGGCGCAGTTCGCATGGGGGGGCTCGGGCCAGTTCGGAACACCCCTCACACGCTTCGTGGCCCCATATGAGGCTCCACCTAAGGTCCCAGTGGCGCAGCTCGCATAGCGGCCTCGGGCAATTTCGGCACACCCCTCACACGGCTCGTGGCCCCATAGGGAGCTCAACCTAAGGTCACAGTGCGCTCGCATGGCGGCCTCGAGCAATTTTGGCACACCCCTCACACGCTTCGTGGCCACATAGGGAGCTCCATCTAAGGTCCCAGTGGCGAGCTGCCATGGCGGCCTCGGGCAATTTCGGCATACCCCTCACACGTTTCGTGGCCCCATAGGGAGCTCCATCTAAGGTCCCAGTGGCGCAGCTCGCATGGCGGCCTCGGGCTATTTTGGCACACCCCCACACGCTTCGTGGCCCCATAGGGGGCTCCACCGAAAGCGGTGCCCGCAATGCGGTATACCTCTTGCAGCTGCATATGGTTGGGTCCTTCGTCAGGCTAATTTTCCATTGGCGGGGTGAGTGAGTGATGTAGACTGGAGAGAGGTGCGAAAGTGAGTGAGTGGGTGAATGATGCTGGTGATGGCGACGGTGATGATGGTGATGAGGATGATGATGGTGACGATGATGATGACGATGATGCTGATGATGATGATGATGATGACGATGATGAGTGTGTCGGCTGTCATATGTAAGTGTTGATGTCACGAACGCTACGCTGCTGTTGTACTGGGGCCCTCTGTTGCGTCAGTAACGCTGCTGATTTGCGGGGCCCTCTTTTTGCGTCAGTAACGCTCGGGGCCTCTCGTTGCCCTTATTAGCCCGAGTAACGCTCGGGGCCATTCTTGGCGTCAGTAACGCTCGGGGCCCTCTTTTGCGTCAGCAACGCTTGGGGCTCTTAATGTCTCGGGGCCCTTTTTGCGTCAGTCACGCTGCTTATGTTCTGGGGCCCTCATTGGTGTCAGTAACACTTGCAAGTCGTACGCGTAGCCGTTTTGGCTCAAGTGCGAGTTGCCTTCACCAGCACTGAGTTCGCGGCATAGACATGCTGCTCAGCGCCATTTCGGTCGAGCTGGAGCAGGCGTCTGCATACAGGGATAGGCCCTTGATCGGAAAGCTCGTGGAGTCGCTGGTCGCCAAGATCAACAGGCTCCCCACGCTGGACGTCGAGGGCGCGAACCAGCTCCAGAGGAAAATCCGCGACCTGTGCCTGCAAGATGTCCATAAGGAAACCCTCGGTGCTGCTGTCGACTCCAAGCTCGAAGCCCATTTGGCCGACGAGAAGGAGGACGTGGAGAGCAAGAACCAAACGCTGACGAACTGCGAGGCCTACACTTCGGTGTCGCTCAAGGAGGGGCCCCAGAATCCCAAGCTCGATATCCAGACAAAGATGCAGATTACAGCTGACTTCCTCGTGCTTTGCGGCTGCGCGAACCCGTGCGAGCAGACGTACAAGTGGTGGCTTGCACTTATCCTCCGCGCGCATTTCACGAGTTCGGCGTGGCCGTCTTACAGGACCACGTTCGGGCTGCTCGAGGACTTCAAGGATTGCGTCATCGCATCTCGGAAGCACTTCCCCTTCACGAAGATCAAGAAGTACCCGATGAGCCCATGCGACCTGCCTCTGCCGATCTTCCAGCACGTATACGGGAGTGGCCGCCCTGATCCGCTGAACATGGAGCGCCTTCCGGCCACGACGAAACACATCCCACTCCGCAAGAACAGCAACCTGATCGTCAAGGAGGAGAAGGCGAAGAAGGATGTGCAGGCTGCGCCCGACTGGGCGAAGGCGTTGCTCAAGCTCAAACCGCAGCAGGACATCAACATCCACATGAGCGACCGCGGCAAGAAGGAGGAGCAGGCCGACGGCTACGACACTGAGCTCGAGGGCGAGGCGCTCAACGACAAGAGGAGGCGGTTGCTCAGTCGGGTACAGAGCAGCCATGCGTGCGGACTTGGCCTTCGGATGCGCCCGCCGCCAGGCGCCGCGCCAGCCCAGCCGTGCGGCGCGCCGAGGTCGACCCCGAAGCCTAGCGTGGCGCCCGCCGCGATCGCTGACGGCGAGCCCGCCCTCCAGGACGATCACGACTCCGATCCAGATGCGGTGGGCGACATACGGAAGTTCGAGAAGGCAGCCATGCAGGCCCTCCTGACGAAGGAGGAGAAGGCGAAAGAGAGGGCGAAGGAGAGAGCGAAGGAGAAGGCGGTGGAGAAGGCGGTGGAGAAGGCGAAGACGGTGACGGAGGCGCCAAGGAAACGCCCCGCCGCTGCAGGGGCGCCTCACCCTCCTTACAAGCGGCCTGCCGCTTGGAAGAACGATGCCCCGCTGCCAGCTCCAGACCACGCCTGCCCGAAGATCGACGGCCCTCCGACCCACTGGAATGGCGGGGTCATCTACGTTGCCAAGAGGATCAACGCGTTCAGGGTTATCTTGGACAGCAACAACCCCAAGTGCGAGAAGCGCGCGGGCTGGGGCTCTGACAAGCCGACTGCGGCTGCTTGGCACAAGGCGAAGCAACTCATCCTCGACGCCCGCGCTGCTGAGCGGAAGGGAAAGCGGGCCATGTGATGAGCGTGCTCAGTGAGTTTTGATTTTCTTGCGGCGTCTAGTTGGCAGTTTAATGTTATTTACGAGTAGCGGGCCGCTGTGCGCGAGGCGTTTGTTGATTCTCCAGTGTCGTGCCTGCTATGTGCGTGCCAGTCGTTCATGTGTTACCGTGTGCTCTGAGCTATGGGGTTCGGCTCGCGAGAGCGGCGAGCGCAGGCGTATATATGGGAAGCAGCGCTGTTCAACCTTTCCAACGGAGTGCTGCAAGCATGCATGGTGCTCGCAACTGAATCTTACACGCTGTCACAGACAAACCAGAAACACAGCATCGGCATACATGTCGCCATGGCTGCCCCCGCCCCCTCCTGCATGGCCAACTTCGTGCAAGCCAGCCTTATACATTCTATCCGTAGCTATTTTTGCTCGAGTGATTACTAGTTCGAGTGCTTGCTGCGCGTTGTTTTCACACATGTCGGGTCGCCCCGAGAAGCTCATGCGTCTTGAGAAGTTCCGCAGGCGGTTGCCACATGTATCGCAGAGCGCCCTCAGTGCAATACTGGACGAAGTCGAGAAGCACGGTGTGCCCGAGTCGCACAGCAGGGCATCGAATTATGAGGCCCGTGAGTTGGTTGCACGATCCATGACTGATTATGGCCCCTTGCACGCCCATATTGAGATGGATACGCTGGACGGGGGAACTCAGACGCTATGTATTGCCCAGCCTCTTGCGTTGATATCGCATGCGTACCAGATCTCCAATCTATTCGCGTCCTTCCTGAGTCGGCTTCACGCCGAGAACCCGTCCTCGGTTGAGAGGCCGTGGCGTGTGTGTCTTTACAGTGACGAGGTCACGCCTGCCAACCCATTGGCAGTGGATCAGAAAAAGAAAGTGCAAGTGATTTATTTTCTCTATTAGAAGTTGGAGCTGCAGCCCTTTGTAGAGAGGACTTGTGGTTTCTCGTGGCGCAAAAGCGCAGTCGCGACGTAATGAAAGTGAAAGGTGGCATGGCTCAGATGTTCGGAGTCGTGCTGAAACAGCTTTTCCTGGAGCCCGCTGGCAATCTAACGACTGGGATCGTATTGCGGCGGCCTGGTAGTGAGCCCATTCGCCTCTTCGCGGTGCAAGGGCCATTCGTGCAGGACGGAGGGGCCCACAAAAGCACATGGCATTGCAAAGGCGAAGGAGGCACCAAGCACTGCCTACTATGCAAGAACCTATTTGCAGAAAAGAGCGAAATCCACGATGAAGATGGGAGCGAGCTCGTCACATGCAATGCTATGAAGCACAGCGACCTCGCCCTGGCAACAAGTGCAGAACTGCGATATGCGTGCAATCGGCTCGCCGCGAAGCGGCACGTTGACGACCCGAATACGTTCGCAAGGCGACAGATGGCCTTGGGCTTCACATTCACGTTGTACAACCTCCTGTGCGACCCGACCCTCAACAATGTTGTGCAGCCGAGGGAGCAGCTCATGTTCGATTGGATGCACTGTCTATTCGTGGGAGGCGTTTGGGCTGTCTGTGTGAACTTAGTGTTGGAGTCAATCAGGGCGGCAGGCATGACCAAGATTTACGACAGTTTGTATGGCTACGCTAAGTTGTGACATTGGCCTGGTAGGACTAAGGCGGATCGCGTGTTTGAAGTCTTTGACCCTAAGCGCAAGGATGCAAACGCAAAGTCTAAGTACTTCAAGTGCCAAGCCAGCCAAGGCCTTTCAGTATACAACTTGGTTCACTACTTTCTCCAGCAGGTCGTGGTGCCCAAGGGGGTTTGCTTGGCGGAGATATCTGCGTATGCTGCGCTATGCGATGTCATCGATTGCTTGACGTTGGCAAACCGTGGTTGCGTTGCACACGGGCAAATTATCCAGTCAACCGAGATGTTCCTCGAGAAATTTGTTGTTGCATGGGGCGTGGCGTACACGATACCAAAATTCCATTGGCTCCTACACATGGAAGATTCCTTCCGCATGTACGATACACTCTTGAGCTGTTTCGTTCATGAACGGAAGCATAAAGAGGTTCGTCGATATGCAGTGGATGTGAGAAACACAAAGTCTTTGGAAGCCAGTGTCTTGCACGAGTGCACTGCTCAACACATGGCCCTGTTAGCAGACATCGAGAGTCGCGCATGTGATTTCACCCCTGGCTGGATCAAGCCTCGGCCAGCTACTAAGAGGTTGAAGGAATTCGTTGAGCTTGAGCTTCAGTTGAAGCTGGAGGCGGGCGAGTGCATGTGCTCAATTCAAACACGGTTTTCCCCTCATGGGTGCAGTTGTGGTCGTGATGTAGTTCTGGTCAAGGATGGTGGCAGCCTTTTTGCCGCATACGTGTGGGCTCATCTAGAAGTGCGACGGGTTCCGATTTCTGTTGTGAGCATGTGTCCTTTGAAAACAGTTGACAATATGAACGGGGTAGCAGTGTGGCAGTTTTCTCAGGGTGCCACGCTCATCGATACTGAGACCATTTGTGACGCGCTCGTGTGGACCAAGTCTGGTAATGATATGATCACGCTTCTTCCTCGGCAGCACTGCGGATAGGCGTGCGTGGCATTGCAAAACATTGGCCTGGCGAAGGACCCAACCAGATGCAGCTGCGAGTGCCGCGTTGAGGGTTTCGGTGGAGCTCCCCATGGGGCCACGAAGTGTGTGAGGGGTGTGGTGACATGGGCATGCTGTGTGCGGGGAGGCGCATGCGAACGTGGCAACTGGGGCCTTGGGTGGAGCTCCCCATGGGGCCACGAAGTGTGTGAGGGGTGCGTCGATATGGGCATGCGGTGGGCGGAGGGGGCGCATGCGAACGCGGCCACTGGGCCTTTGAGTGGAGCTCCTATGTGGCCACGAAGTGTGTGAGGGGCGTGCTGACATGGGCATGCGGCGGGCGGGGAGGCGCATGCGAACGTGGCCACTGAGGCCTTTGGAGCTCCCTATATTGGGCCACGAAGTGTGTGAGGGGTGTGCCGAAATGGGCATGCGGTGGGCGGGGAGGCGCATGCGAACGTGGCCGATGGGGCCTTGGGTGGAGCTCCCTATGTGGCCACGAAGTGTGTGAGGGGTGTGCCGAAATGAGTATTGGGCGGGGGGGCGCATGCGAACGTGGCCCTGGAGCTCCCAATGGGGCCACGAATAGTGTGAGCGGTGTGCCGAAATGGACTGCAGTGTGCGAGGAGGGGGGGGGGGGGGGGCATGCGAACGTGGCCACTGGGGCTTTGGAGCTCCACGAAGTGTGTGAGGAATGTGCCGAAATTGGCATGCGGTGTGCAGGGGGGCACATGCGAACGTGGCCACTGCATGGGGCCTTGGGTGGGGCTCCCTATGGGGCCACGAAGTGTGTGAGGGGTGTGCCGAAATGGGCATGCGGTGGGGCGCATGCGAACGTGGTCCATGGGGCCTTGGGTGGAGCTCCCCATGGGGCCCCGAAGCGTGTGAGGGGTGTGCCGAAATTGACATTCGGTGGGCGGGGAGGCGCATGGGATCTGGCTGAGATCCCTAGCAAACCCTAGGAAATCCTATGGATCTGGCTCAGATCCCTAGCAAACCCTAGGGAATTGCTAGGGATCTGGTTCAGATCCCTAGCAAACCCTAGGGAATTGCTGGGGATCTGGCTGAGATCCCTAGCAAACCCTAGGGAATTGCTAGGGATCTGGCTCAGATCCCTAGCAAACCCTAGGGGATTCCTCGGGATCTGGCTCAGATCCCTAGCAAACCCTAGGGAATTGCTGGTGATCTGGCTCAGATCCCCAGCATTCCCTATGGAATTGCTGAGGATCTGGCTCAGATCCCTAGCAAACCATCGGGAATTATGGTGATCTGGCTCAGATCCCTAGCAAACCCTAGGGAATGCTGGGGATCTGGTTCAGATCCCTAGCAAACCCTAGGGAGTTGCTGGGGATCTGGCTCAGATCCCCAGCAGCCCCTATGGAATTGCTGAGGATCTGGCTCAGATCCCTAGCAAACCATCGGGAATTATGGTGATCTGGCTCAGATCCCTAGCAACCCTAGGAAATCCTATGGATCTGGCCCAGATCCCCAGCAATCCCTAGGGAATTGCTGGGGATCTGGCTCAGATCCATAGCAAACCCTCGGGAATGCTAGGGATCTGGCTCAGATCCCTAGCAAACCCAAGGGAATGCTGGGGATCTGGCTCAGATCCCTAGCAAACCCTACGAAATCCTATGGATCTGGCTCAGATCCTTAGCAAATTCAAGGGAATCCTAAGGATCTGGTTCAGATCCCTAGCAAATCCTATGAAATCATATGGATCTGGCTCCGATCCCTAGCAAACCCTAGGAAATCATATGGATCTGGCGCAGATCCCTAGCAAACCCTAGGGCATGCTGGGGATCTGGCTCAGATCCATAGCACACCCTAGGGCATGCTTGGGATTTGCCTCAGATCCCTAGCAAACCCTAGGGGATTGCTAGGGATCTGGTTCAGATCCCGAGCAAACCCTAGGACATCCTAGGGATCTGGCTCAGATCCCTAGCCTAGCAAACCCTACGAACTCCTAGGGATCTGGTTCAGATCCCTAGCCAACCTTAGGAAATCCTAGGGATCTGGTTCAGATCCCTAGCAAACCTTACGAAATCCTAAAGATCTGGCTCAGACCCCTAGCAAACCCTAGGAAATCCTATGGATCTGGCTCAGATCCCTAGCAAACCATTAGAAATCCTATGGATTTGGCTCAGATCCATCGGAAATCCTAGGGATCTGGCTCAGATCCCTAGCAAACCCTAGGGCATGCTGGGGATCTGGTTCAGATCCATAGCAAACCTTAGGAAATCCTAAGGATTTGGCTCAGATCCCTGGCAAACCCTAGAGAATCAGATGGATCTGGCTCAGATCCCTAGCAAACCCTAGGGAATTGCTGGGGATCTGGCTCAGATCCCTAGCAAACCCTATGGAATTGCTGGGGATCTGGCTCCGATCCCTAGCAAACCCTAGGGAATTGCTGGGGATCTGGCTCAGATCCCTAGCAAACCCTAGGGAATTGCTGGGGATCTGGCTCAGATCCCTAGCAAACCCTAGGGAATTGCTGGGGATCTGGCTCAGATCCCTAGCAAACCCTAGGGAATTGCTGAGGATCTGGCCCTTGTTGGCTTCCTGAAGGGGGCCTTCTGAGGGGGCAGGGCTAATTAAAGCACACCTCTTCTTTGATCGATTTCCTCCACGATGGCCGCAAGAGGCCACCAGGAAGCCCCAAGAGGCCGCAGGATGGCCCCAAGATGCCCCCCCAAGAGGCCCCCAGGAGACCACCAAGAGACCCCCAAGGATATCCTAGGGATCTGGCTCAGATCCTTAGCAAACCCTAAAAAATTGCTGGAGATCTGGCTCAGATCCCTAGCAAACCCTAGGGGATTCCTAGGGATCTGGCTCAGATCCCTAGCAAACCCTAGGACATCCTATGGATCTGGCTCAGATCCCTAGCAAACCCTAAGGAATTGCTGGGGGTCTGGCTCAGATCCTGAGCAAACCCTGTGGAATTGCTGGGGATCTGGCTCAGATCCCTAGCAAACCTCAGGGGATTGCTAGGGATCTGGCTCAGATCCCTAGCAAACCCTAGGACATCCTAGGGATCTGGCTCAGATCCTTAGCAAACCCTAGGAAATCCTTGGGATCTGGCTCAGATCCCTAGCAAACCCTGAGGAATTCCTAGGGATCTGGCTCAGATCCCTAGCAAACCCTAGGACATCCTAGGGATCTGGCTCAGATCCCTAGCAAACCCTAAGGAAGTGCTGGAGATCTGGCTCAGATCCCTAGCAAACCCTAGGGGATTCCTATGGATCTGGCTCAGATCCCTAGCAAACCCTAGGACATCCTAGGGATCTGGCTCAGATCACTAGCAAACCCTAGGAAATCCTAGGGATCTGGCTCAGATCCTTAGCAAACCCTAGGGAATTGCTGGGGATCTGGCTCAGATCCCTAGCAAAGCTCAGGGGATTGCTAGGGATCTGGCTCAGATCCCTAGCAAACCTTAAGAAATCCTAAGGATCTGGCTCAGATCCTTGGCAAACCATAGGAAATCCTGAGGATCTGGCTCAGATCCTTAGCAAACCCTATGGAATTGCTGGGGATCTGGCTCAGATCCCTAGCAAACCCTAGGGAATTGCTGGGGATCTGGCTCAGATCCCTAGCAAACCCTAGGGAATTGCTGAGGATCTGGCTCAGATCCCTAGCACATCCTAGGGAAGTGCTGGGGATCTGGCTCAGATCCCTAGCAAATTCTACGGAATGCTGGGGATCTCGCTCAGATCCCTAGTAAAACGTAGGAAATGTTATGGATCTGGCTCAGGTCCCTAGCAAACCCTAGGGGATCTGAGCGCTTGCATGCTAAAAATGCGGGCGTGCCAGATCAGGGGTCTGGTTCAGATCCCTAGCAAACCCAAGAGAATGCTAGGGATCTGGCTCGGATCCCTAGCAAGCCCTAGGGAATGCTAGGGATCTGGCTCAGATCCCTAGCAAACCTTAGGAAATCCTACGGATCTGGCTCAGATCCCTAGCAAACCCTAGGAAATCCTATGGATCTGGCTCAGATCCCTAGCAAACCCTAGGGTATTGTTAGGGATCTGGTTCAGATCCCTAGCAAACCCTATGGAATTGCTAGG